GTAAATATGGATGATGAATAACGACGGCAAGCACCAAGTGTTTACTAGCTAATTCAGGGATGAGGCGCACGAAGCTAACTTGTTTTTATTTCAGTCTCGGGTATAGATTAGACCAACTATTAAAAAAAATTTTTTCTTAAAATAATTCTGAAAGTGTAATAGAGGTTTAACCGTAAGCCAGGAAAAAGGTTGGACATCAGCTCTGGTTCACTTTTTATATTCTTTTCAAAAACCATTTTTTTTCCTGGTTTTAATGGGAGGAGATGCCAACTTACTTAATTACCAGGACAGAAACCTTTCATATTTTACCCTTTTAAAGGGCTTTTGTTTAGAAATAATTTCAGAGTTACAGAAGAGTAGCAAAGGTGGTTTAGAGAGTTTCCAGGTGTCCTTCATTCCGCTGCCTTTAACAGTAGCATCTTATGTAATTATGGTACATTGATCAAAATCAGAGTTTATTTTCAAATAACATTTTTTCTTTTCTTTTTTCTTTTTATATTTAGTCTTTATCGTATTTTTTTTTCATTACCCTTTAAACCTCTTATGCCCACTGCCGCCAGCAATCGTCACTCATTTTTTACTTACTCTCATGAAAAGGGACATACCTGAGCTGTGGGAGCAGCAAAGAAGCTACAGTTTATTAAAAACTGGAGTTTATTTTTTGTTTATATGTACATATTTATGTTTCGTTTTGTTTTATGTTATCTAACTAACTTGAAATTTTAGCTAGGAAAAGAACCAAGAGCCTTAACCTTAATCTGAAGTGCCACCATACAATCATCCTGGCTGTCTAAAGAGGCTTGGACTGGGGACGTTTCTATGAACCTTGGGATGGGATTCTGGATGCCCAGATAGGGCCATAGGCTTCCAAACTGTAGGTTTCCATGCTGATGAGATAGTAGATATATACGCATTTAAAAATTATATCCAGGAGAGGATACCATGGAGTATAATCTCAGTGTCAGCCTGTGAGTCAAATCGCAGCTCACTCTGGTTTCTGTAATACCACTAATAGACCCTGCTCCAAACTCCCTCATCCTTCCTTTACTCCCTGGTCAGGGGTCCGTGTCAGCCGTGCTTTCATGATAAACCTGCATCTTTCCCTCCCTCCTTGTGATGCAATCTGTACTATGAGCTGGTTGCTATTCATCAGTCATAGCCCTGTTGGACCTCGCCTCTCTGAAGCTTTGCCTGACCTCTCACTATCTCCCTTGTCCTGTGTATACATCCTGTACAAACTTCTATAATGGCAAATATGTTGAATTTTAATTATTGTAATCACTGGCTAGCATGTCTATCTTTCTAACTAAATAAACCATGTCTTATTCATCTCTGTATTCTTAGGAGTTACCTCATTACATGGAATGTAGTAGGCACTCAACAAATAAATAAATTTGAAGCTATCCTAACATTTACCTTACTAATTATGGATAAGCCAATTTTCTCCTTAAATTTTTGAGCTCCAAATGGCATAAAGACATTCCAAGTAGAGATCCTTAATGAGACAGGCTAGTAGGAAACTAGGAAAATTACTTGACAAGTGGAATAGAGAACTGAAACAGAGAGCTGAACACAGTGGCTGAGTAATTTACAGCCAGGTGCAGACGGTCACCAGGGCAGAAGGCCCTCAGTGCCTGGCAGGGGGCGGGAACTGGGAAAACAAGAACCTCGCCCCCAGGGTAACTTTTCCTCGCCTGGACTTCCCTCCCTGGATATAATGTCTGGGAGAGAACATCTAGGCCTCAGCTGTACTTCAGCTCCAGGCCCAGAAAAGCCACAAAACCAGCTGGGTGATGCCAGAACCAATTGCAATGACTAAAGACCCCCTGTCCTGTCTCTGACCAGTGAGTGGAGACCATGACCCTGACAGGGCACAGCTGGAGAACTGATGACGGTGCTACTGAAACCCTCCCCTGAGACCTCCCCTAAGATCCCCACCTGCAAAAGAGAGACGAAAGACTCAGGACAGAGGACCTAGCAATAGCACTTCCTCTGAGGAGCATCCCATGCCATTCCCGTTCCCTTCTTCTTCCCCCACTTCTTTTTCATAGGCACGTGTCTCCTAAACTCGAGGGCAACAGGCAGCTGATCTCAGGCTAATCCCCTGAACCTGCCCCCAAAGGCCCCTCTCCTCTGGCTTCCCAGGGAGCTAAGGCAGCCCAGCCCAGGCTCTCCTTTCGCTCCTTTCATGCTAAGGCCTTCTTTGTTTTATGGTCCCCAGCTTTAATAACGCATCGTCCTAGTCACCTGGGCTCGTGCCGTGAAATCTTCCCTATGTGAAGTCAAGAACCCACACACTATAGCAGGCCCTAGGCAGGCCTGCTCAGGGACAGGCCCGTGTCTGGTAACACTTAAGTCAATGTTTCTCAAAACGTGGTTCATAGACTACCTGCATAAGGATCTTTTAGGACATTGTTAAAAGGACTTCACACAGACCTATCAGATCTGAAGCTCTGGGGAATGCATGCTGGATTTATGCCTTTTCATAAGACTTGCACTGATGTTCCAGAACTACTGCCTTGAAGGAAAGTTCCATTAATCCATCAATTTTGCTATTTCCATCTCTTTCCATAGAGTTTTTGAAGTGAGCATAGTCAATGATGTAACAATAAATTAAATAAAATAACACATTAGTATAAGGGAAGAGAAGACTTCTGGTTGGTTTAGTGTAACACGCTATGACTAAGGTTCATATTGGATTCTGAGGCACATGCCAGCTAGAGCAAAAAATAAAAAAATATGAGGTAAAAGAAATAACAGTTCTCATTACAGGAAGTAAAACAAAATACCAGTTTCTCAGAAGAGACCATTTTTTTCCCTCCAGGCACTACATTTTTAAAGCAATTTCTCGCTTGAGATTTACCTCAGAGCAGTGAGTGAGTGATGGATGGATCAATATTTTCAACAAGATTTTTTGCCAAATAGCTATTTACGTAGTGAGTAAAATATGATGTAAGTTCAGTATACGCAGTAAGGTTGCCTTCTCTTTCATGTTATTTTACTTTATTTTTTTTGGACAGGATGCTTCTAAACAGCCTCTTTCCAGTATCCCAGTAAAGACACATCTTCACATGGCCTCTTAGCTAAGCTACCTTACATCACTTGCCAAAGTGGGGCCAAAGCAAAGTTATAATCTCTAACAAGTACCAAGAATGCAGGTACAAAGTATTGCTGCTTGAGGGGAGATTTATTATTCTTTGGAAACAAGAGGAGCAGTTGGTAAGGTTGACATTCTATTTATGACATTTGAGAAGCCTAACCAGCAATATTTTCTGGATAGAAGTCATTCACCCTAAAACAGTGTAAACAACAGACAACAACAGTTCATATTTATCAAAGGGCTACCAGGTAGGCACCGCGTAAATGCTCTCTTAGTCCACTTTAAGAACTCTGTGTCCCAGGTGATACTGCCCCCACTTCACACCTGAGGAAATGGCCTTGCACAGGTTAGGTAAATGAGCCACCCTCACGTAACGACCAAGTGGCAGGAACAGGATTAACGCCCAGGTTTATCTGACGCTAAAGCATGTGAACACTCCAGAGTATTGATCTACACAGCATAAATATAGAGAAAGGAAAGGCAAGAATGGAGTCATGCAAGATGTCCTGGCCTTGGAATCAAGACATCCAAGCTATCCAGCGAACTCAGGCGAAGTAATGATATTTCTGGTCTTCAGTTGCCTTATCTTGTGAAGTAAGGGATTGAGCTGTATGACTTCTAGGGCCCACACCTGATTTAAAGTCTACAGCTACTCTTCTGAAAGGACCAAAGTGAATAAAATCAACTCTCCTTTAAATAAAAATTTTGTTTAACGTTCTACAACTTATGAGGTAGAGAGTATAATTACCCTCATTTTTGCATATGGGGAAACTGAGACACAGAGATTGAGTAACCTCTCTGAAGTTACATAGGTGGCAAATGGGGGAGCCAGGATTTGAACTTAGGCAGTTCACTCTGGCCTCTGGAGCCCAAGCAATTTTCTCAAGGGTCTAGAGTCCACATTATTAGCTAGTACATTAAACTCTCTTCAAAACTACATCATGAAAACTTGTATTGATTCATAGAAATGAATATACTAATTAGAATTAGGAAGTTGTTTCTGAAGGAAGTAACTGAATGAACTATTTATTATTCAAATTCCATATTGCCATTGAGTTCTCATAGCTTTCTATGATATCTTTGCATGATTCAAAATAGTTACATTTTGGAATTGAGCCCACTGAAGGCCTGGCCTTCCCTGTCTAGCACAGTGCCTGGAAAATCACTCCATGAATCTTTTTTGGATGAATTAATGCATTGAGGACAAAAAAAATTTCCTCCTTGTTCTATGTATGTATGTATGTATGTTTGCACTTGTACATCTCATTTTAATTTCTAAAAAGTAAAAATAAAAAGCCTACTCTAATTACAGTCGGCATATTTCAGGTCACAATAACTTCTCATTTCAAATAATATAATGCAAACATTATATTAAACACTTCAATTAAACAATTTAAGACACACTTTTGAAGCACATTTTTCTTCAAACCTACAATTAAGGAGGGCCTAACTCTTCCTTAATTTAAACTATTATCTATTCAGTGCTATAATAATTATCCAACTTTTTCCCACCTTACAGGCCTTTACTGGCAACTCTTCAAACACAGAACCACTTTACCATTGTTTCTTGAAAGCACTGGAGAGCTTTTAGATGAGAATGCAACATAATATCCACTAACAACAGAATCCATGGGTCAAACTCTTCTCTTAAAGCATGCGCCCTATTAAACATGCAGATTTAATTTTCCCCTTGATAATCCCGAGGGATACCAAAGGTTTATGCCTTTTTTTTTTTTTTTTTTGGTTTGGTTTGGCTTTTAAATACACAATGTACTCATGACAGCAAATCAAACCTGTTAGTGGCATCGGAAAGGAGAATCGATGCCGGGAACAGGACCACTGCAAATTTGATTAAAATTGCAATCACTGAGAGCACAGCACACATCGGGGTTTTAAATACCTCTCTCTGTGGCATTTGTCATATTAAGAGCTGCAGCATAAACAAAGGAAAAAGCAAATCAAATGTGTAAACATTACATGATCACTTCCACTTTTCTAAATGCAGTAAGAAAATCTGATTTCTGGGAAAGAAGGCAGCCAGAAGTCTAATAATCTTTGAAATCAGTCCTGTTCTCTTAGAGTTGTATTTATTGGCATTTGCATATATATAATTTCAGTCTTCTGGAATTCTATTATCTTATATACTGCCTATATCTGCAAAAATTCTTCAAAAAATATGCCTTTGGTAGAGCCGGTCAGCCCTAAGAGGGTGGTAAAGCCTTTTAAACTGCTGAGACTGACTTTGCAATAGACTAAGAGTCAAGGACCCTGGCAAGTGATGGACACTCATGCCTTGAAGCCACTTAAATTTCCCAAATGGCTGGCCTTCCAGCCTCGCTCCTCATGCCTCTCCCAAGTATTGACACAGAGTTCTGCTTTGGGAATCCCCAGCAAATGAGAAGGTGTTTCAGAGTTAAGGGAAGTCTGCAATAACTGTCTGCCCAGAAGGGCTCTGTTCTTGTTCTTGGTCTGCTTCTGGGGCTCTTGACTTTTCACTGGTGTTAAGCCACCTCTTCCCGCTGGTGTCCCTGACTAGGATGCCTCCTTTGGCTCCAGCTTCACCTTTGCCCAATCTTTTCCTTAATGGCTTAAATCTCCAAGGGTAAACAAGGTAATAATTGAAAATGCCATCAACAGGAGCCCAATAGATTGCCACCATCATTTATTTTAATTTGGATCTCAAGTATTCTGCACTCGACCAGTTTCTGTAAACAGGGCTTGTCTGAATGTAGTTAAGATCCACACTCAGCTCCAATAAATAAATCAATAAATCCCTATGTAACAGATAGGTCTAGGAATATAGGGGAAATATGATGAAATCAGATATTCGTAAACCTTTAAATGGACCTTTTCCATTAATTAAAAACACTCATAAGAAGGACCTCTCCAGGTATAAACAGAAAAAGAATTGCATTGTCATATCAAAAGCACTTCCTTTCTGTGACATAGTGTTTATTTAAAATATTTTTTAAAGGGAGAATGCCCTTCTGGTCAAAAACAGAGAGGTAAAATCAGATTCTTGCACTTCAGGGTGCATCTAAAGCCTCCACAACTAAAGCCTCTCCTTGCAAACTCCAGCCCTACAGCTCAGATCATCCTAGTCCGTCATCATACCACTCTGCCATGGAGTGTCGGTATTCCTGGGCTTCACGGTACTCGCGAGAATATTGTTTCAGTTAAGATACATGAGAGCAATGGTACAGATCGCTCATTCTTAGGATATACACTGTACCTAATAGAGAACATGAGGCGGGTTGGAGAGACAGGTGAGACTGTCTCTTGATTTAGAAGAGAATTCCTTCCATAGGTCACTGAAAAGTCATTTTATCTCTGTTTTCAATCTAACAAAACTTACATGAAGTAAATTTAAATGTTGGGGTGGGGAGGCTACATGGAATTATGCTACTGAACATGATACTTTTCCCTCTGTGAGGACTAGGTAAAAGAAATTATCTCAAGCAGAAGAAGTATTTCTAGAAAAATAGAAGGAAATCTTTATGAGCCCATAGAACTGATCTATATCTCTGTTTTAGCATTATATATTCATCCTCATATTTGTAGAAAGCTGAGGAATGATCTTAGCTAGAGGAAGAAGCCACAAACCAGGTGTGACAACTTTTAAGACCAATAAGACAAACCTCAATTTCAGAGAGATTAAAATGCACAACAAAGGAGCAAATGATTAGCCAGCAGGGGTTGTGAGACACCCTTGACTCTGAGATGCCTCCGAGATAAGGTAAAATATTTAAAAAATAAGTATCTTAGAATCTAAGAAATATAGAGATTTCTCTGGCCCTCATCACAACCTGCTGTGTAGCCATTCCTGAAGTCCATTGTCCCAAAGACACCTGCAACAAAGGATGAGCCTCCACAGGGGTGAGACTGACCTACTCTTTGCTGCATCCCAGGAGACTGTGGAATTTGGGAAACTACACAGTGCTTCCCTTTCCTGTGCGAGCTTCCCTTTATTCTGCTTCATGAGTCAGTAACACCCCACCAAGCACAGAAAATGTTCATTGAGATATCAGAACCCAAACTGAATTTGTGTTGGATCCTCCAAGCCCCTATCGACTCATAGAGTCCAGGTGTCGGCCCCTAAGTGAGGAAGGAGAGTCAAATGAGGAGACAATCGCCCGGCAGCTGTGCTCTCTGAGCCCTTTCATTCCCACTGCACATGCAGCGCCCTGACTTCCACGTGCAGGCCCTGAGCTCACTGCCTTGAGGGATAAATTCCTTCCCTAAGGACATGGCCTCTCCCGTGTTCTCTGCACCAGGACTGCACACTCAACTGCGGTTCTTCAGCCGGCGGCGAAGTGTTGTGATACTGAATCAACATAGGGATCAATTGCCTTTGACAAAGATTTTTCCAGCCCTGAGTTTGTTCTAGAGCAGAGTGGAGCAGAGGACTGCAAAAACAATGTATCAAACCTATGAACAGAAAGGTTGATGTCGCTTTATCAAAATAGCATAATGTTTGGATTCCAAAATAATCTTTCCAAAGGATAAATACAGGTATTAATTCTTCCTAATGATAAAGGTCTCTTCTAAAATTTTTCAAAAAGTATAGAGCTATATGAAATAGGAGTATATAGGTAAAAGTTAACGCACATGTAATTCCATATGCAGAGATAATGACAATCATTCGGTATATATTCTCTAATGTATAATATATAACATATTGCTCTTTAACTACTTTTTCACTTAGGAATACATTAATATTTCCAATGAATTAATATTTCTAAAGAAATAGAACAGTATCTTGTAGAACCAGCTCATGAGCATACTGTTCTGTTATTGAAACCCCTGCTCGTTCCTGACCTCTGGAGATTTACATTTCATTCTTGTGAGTTATACAGCCAATCCAGCATTTCTGAGTGTTTATAGTCAGGAGATTTTCATATTATCTTCTCAGTCAAATTGTTGGGCCTGTAAGCATTTAATCCAAGGTTTATGTGACTTGGTACATAAAGATGCTGTGCATGGTTCATCGCATTGACTATTCTCTTGCAATATTCTCAAATCCTTTGCCCTATATTCTCTCCTTTCTGGCAAAACTCCAACACTTGAGTCTTGCCTTTGGATTTGGCTTTCTATTTTTTTGGACTTATACCTATATTAATGAGCAAAGCTGGGGGACAGGGGGCAGAAGAAACCTGCAATCAGGCAAAATAAATAAATAAATAAATGAAATAAAAAATAAAACAACCAGTACCACTCCATATTCACATCCTGCTCTCTACTTCATGTGGTCCGGGAATCCTGGTTTCCCTTGTGAGTCATCTCTCCCATTCCCCACAGCTATTTTAATCCTTTCTACTCTCCTCATCCCTCTGCCCCCCTTTACAGAAGTATTTTCAGAAGATAACCTTACTTCCTACTTCCTAGAGGACATAGAGACCATCAGAACAGAGAGTTCTCAAGTTCTATCTGCCAAATGTATTAACTCATTATACTGGAATACACCTCTACTCCTTTCTTCCTATGACAAGGAAGGAAGGAAGTTTCCTCTTCCGAAGTACAGTGCTCATATAATTTATCATTGAAGCCTGTGTACTTTTGAAAGTAAAAGAAGGAATCTATTAATAATTATTCTAGGACAACAGGTGTCAGCCTGAATGTCCTGGGAAAACTGGGACATGTGGTCACCCTCTGTATAAAGTTCATCCTATCACTTGTCCTCTGAATACATCCCTTTTGCCTTCACAAGCGCCACTAATATTCCCTTGAATATTCCCCTTCTCTCTCTCCTATGTTCAAATTTTCCTTCTCTCTGGGCTCCTTCTCATTAATATTTTAATATTTTTTATCTTGTAACAAAAGAAATCTTGCAAAACACCCCTACCTATATGCTATACACACCATCAGCTACTGCTTACTTTTTGTGTCCTCACCTATTCTCTGCCAAATTTGTCTGTACCCAACTGTCTCTCCTTCATTTCCTAGTCTCCATTACTTACAGAATTCTAACTTCTTTCCTAGTCCCCATTCTGACACTGTTCTTAACAATGTCGCAGGTGATTACTTGGTTCTTTAATGGAACAGACAGTACTCAACGTTATTGAATTTCTCAGACACCTGTATCAGCACAGCCTGGGGTCGGTTATTCTCCCTGCTCCTCAGTTTCCTAAAATAGCATAATGCTAAGCCTTTCTCAGACTATTGGTGCTGGTTAAATTCAATATCCATGTAAAGCATTTAGCATTTTAAAATGTAAGACACCCCATTGCTTATCCCTTTAGAAAAACATCCGTGTTTGACCACACTTGAGTTAGATGGTCCCGTCAGTAATTTTGCATTTCACTGTCTGAACCTTGTAAGGTAAGACAGAAGGGTAGAATACCTTTGCATTGCCAGTCCCGTGATCCAGCAGCCTGAGGATGGCAATCTAGAAAGGGAGCTCTACTTCTGTGCTGAAGGGTCTTTCTTTTATGTTTGTCATGGCACCTAAGATTTAGTGGACACACCGTACCAAATCCATGGCCTGGCATGCTTATCCTCATTCGAAGCCAGCAATGGCAAACAAAGCCCTATCTTTCCCTGGCATACTCACTTGCCGTAAGTGTTATCCCAGAGTCAAATGGCGCTTATGGAGTTCTCTTTCTAACTTGCTCAAACCAATGTTCAGTGTTGCTGACACAATACATAACAAATGCTCATCCTGCCCTGACTGACCTTGGCCCAGTGTCATCATCAGCCCTCCTCATGCCCACCTAGTAGGTATTTGCAGGTGCTTTTGGAATTCTTCCATTTGCTTCTCAGTTGCATATTCACTTGTTCTGAGTTGTTGGCTAAATTGGCCCTTCCTTTAAATAGGTCATGTTGCATTATATCTTGTGGAAATGAGTCAACTATTTTGTTAACCGGAAGCCATCCTTTCAGAGAACCAAAACAGATTTGCTGTAATTTTTATGTCCTAATAGTAATTACAGTTAATGCTATTTTAAAATGCTTATTATGTACCAGCAACTGTGCTAAGCATATCACAAATTTTCATGTATATTGGCTATTTGAATAGAGACTAGGATGGAATAGAAATGGACATGGGTGATAAAATCATCTTACCTACTATTAGAGTAACTTTAAATAATATGATCAGCTCTTGCCTTGGCCAGTGTAGCTGGTAGTTGGACCATTGGCCCACAAATCAAACGGTTGTAGATTTGATTCCTGGTCAGAGCACATGCCTAGGTTTGGGTTCTCTCCCTGGTCCAGGGATGTGCAAGAGGCAACCCATCGATGTTTCTCTCCCTCTCTCTTCCCCTTACTTCCCTTCTCTCTAAAATCAATAAGCATGTCCGCAAGTAAGGATAAAAAATAAATAAATCATATGATCAACTCTTAGTACTAGCAAGTTAATTAAGACCTCTAGCATGTATTAACTATTAAAGCAATGAGCACGACCATTTAAATGTTAGGAAGAAGAGAGTATTCAGTTTTACTGATAGGCATGATACAAAATTAAATGGCAAGGCAAAACCAAACTGTGTAACTGGACTGTAATAATTAAGGTTCTTGATAATTTTTGGTAGTCCAAAGCTAAAGAAAATCATTTAAATATTTAAGAAGAAAGTAACCTAAAACAACAATATCATATAATATAAGAGCTCATATACTGAAAAGGAAAATCTTTATAACATTGTAAGCAAATGGATAACATTAATTCTGTATCATTCCACATATAGTTCAAGTAAACACTAAACCCAGGCAGATATTTAATATGCTTAAGCATGCATCTGAATGTGTTTATATGTTTACTTTTTACTGAATAATTAACACAAACTGGTTGTTGCATACTGAGCTTTATATGGCATTGGTAATTTAGAAGATGTTCAGTTATAGCAACTAGGCTGAAAATACATGTTTTTTATGTCTGACAGCCACATTTCTCACCAACCATGTTCATTTTCATGACGAGTTAATGGAACTTTTATGAGCAGTTGACACAATGACATAATAAAAATGTTATCTCAATTAAAAGTAAATGTCAGAAGTGAGATCATTAGAGCTGTGAGAGGAAGCTCTAGCTGGGAAATAAAAATAATCTTAAAGGAACTAATAAATAGCAAAACTATATGATTGAGATGGATGAGATGTAGGAAAAGATAAATTTTGGCTTAAGAGTAGGATGGACTCAAACGGTAAGCTATTGGGGAACCCTAATGTCTTCTCCAATTGAACTAGAATACAATTAGGTCAAGTACGTGATAATCCAATCACTCTGTCAATCGGATAAGAGAAAAGCAGAAAATAGGTGATGATTCTTACCGTCAACACTTACTGAGTGTTTACAGAGGGCCAGACATGCTAAATGCTATCAACACCTCACTGAATACCCACAATAAACCTGCTGTACAGATGAGAAAACTGGGAACCAAGAGGCTAATTCTAAGGCTTGTAACAGGCAGAGCTGGGGAGAATTTTGTATGCTGCTTACTCACCTAACACAAATGTGCTGGTAGTTTCTATTTTTAAACAAAACATGATGTAATTTTAGGACAAGAAGGATCCGACGACCAAATAAATAAAACAGATAACCCTATCTGGATTCTGATTTCTCAGTGAAGAACATTCACAAGAAGTTGTTGAATTAGTTGACTATAAAAGAACATTTTAAAAAATGAAAAAATATTTTGACAATGTAACTCATTGAAGCAGAACTGTTTGTGGTTATACAGTGTGAGTCAGTATTTAATTTTCTCAGCCCTTTGGAACAGAATGCAGTTTGAAAAAAAAACCCCATCATTTTCTTTCTTTTGATATCATTTTAAAACTCACATCTACATACTGCAAAAGGTCAAATGAGTGTCTTCAAAATTATAAACAAGGGAGACTTGTCCATGCCAGTTAGACGTTCTAAAGGGGTGTCCTATTGTTTTAGCATCATAGTGAATTTAATCTGCTCTGGTCAAAATTACCAGCGATTGTAGGCAATAAATGAAACATGACTTATTACACCAGTGCAATTTTCTTTCTCTTTTCCATTATTCCTTTCATAGTCTTGACTGTAGAGTCTAATACCTGGAGCAGTTGAGTGAACTGGACTACCTGCATCTCTGCTTTGGCCAGCTGCAGCGCAGCCTTCAGGGAGAACGTGAGGCCCCCGAGAACACTCAGGGGAAGGAAGGCAGCTCCTTACCCTCAACTTCCAGCTTCACCAATCTGGAATAGGCTGTCCCGAGGCTGTTTTTGGCCACACATCGATAATGTCCTGCATCTTCCTTTTGCACATTATGAATCCTTAAACTCCCAGATTCAAGAACTGCAATGCGGGAATTTTCCTGCCAGGGATAGGGACATGAATTTTTAAAGGTTCATGGCTCTCTCAAGGACATATTTGCCACATTTCATCAAGTTACTGTCATCACTAATGTTGTCAAAAATATTTGAACATTTATTTGGGACTTATCATGTATAACATATGATATTGTATAAGATAGTACAAGGTTACCTTATGGGATTAATATTAATTTTAATATTAATTCCATAAGATTAATTTATTTTTATATTCTTTCATCACATGAGAACACAAATGCTTATTTGATTTTCTAAAAGTCATATCCCAGTCTGCCTGGTTAAAAGCATTGCTTTTTACTATCATATTTACTGCATGCCCTATATAGTATGCTTTAGGATATATATGTCCTTTGAAAAAATGGCAAGTTCTACAAATGATACAAAAATTGGTTTTTGAAGTTAAAATATTACATTTATCTTCACTTCTGGAACTCTAAATTCAGTAACATGCATAGAGCCACCCCTTGCTTTTCTTGTTGGAAATACATCAACACGTACAACAAAAAGAAAGCCAGAGAATTATATAGATTACCATAAAATAATTGACACTATGTGTTTTAGTTTAAATACAACAAAGGTACTTGATTTTATACCATATTTCAATTATTTGACATATATCATTACCTATTTATTCCCCATGGAATAATCTATTATGCAGGTATAAGATACAAAGGCAGTATGAAATAAACATATGAACAATCATTTTGGCTAATCTTGGTGATGGGGTATTTGTCAGCATGCTTACTTCTTCACCAGCCTTGAATCTTCATGCTCTAACTTCACTCTAGACTGTTCTCATTCATTTTCTTCCAAACCTCATTTTTCCTCTCTTCTCCCAGATAACTGTTTGTCAGGTCTAAAGCTCAGATTTTAGTTCCACCTTTTTCATTTCCTATGTATCTAAGATTCAGTGTTAAAAAATGAATGTTCAACCAACCAACCAACCAACCCAACCAACAAACCCAGCAACAAAAAAGCTTCTAGCTTTGCTTTTACTTTGCCGGTTTTTTCATCCCTAATACTATTGGTTCCCATCTTGTTTTTTTCCCTAGCCAGCCGCAAATAGAATGCCTTAAACTTTGCATATAGGGGAACAGAAATATTTCAGTTTGGTTAAAATGTTGTATATGGGGAAAAAATCTTATAATCAAAGTTCATGTGTGTAACCGAGTTTACAATGGATTTCTCTATTTGAAAATATGTTGTATACACGTTTTAACATAATAAAAACTTACCCTTAGAGCGCTATCTCCCTTAATCCATGACACTGAAGGTTTGGGATTGCCCATTGTAGTACATGGTAGAACTGCCTTTAATCCTTCTATTATTTTTACATTTATGGGGGGACGAGTTATTTTAGGTTCTAAAGGGAAGTAAAAATTCAAAATTAGCAAGGCAATACAGCTTATTAAACTTAGAGTTTCTAACCTTCTATTTAATTCTAAATATCCATTTTAAGAATAATTTTAGACATATTAGGTTATAAAATTCACCAAGTAATAGAGCAGGTTTTTATTGGCTAACAAATAAGTCATTTCTAAAAGTTTAGGTTATCTCTGTTTTATTGATAACTGGAAAAACACAAATTTATGAAGCATATTAGGAGCCTGAAGTTATCATAAATTCTTCACTTTAAAAGACAGTTAATAAAAAGTTGATTTAAACAAGCTGTCACCATAACAATTCAACATAACTTATAGAAACAAACAGGAAAACATTTGAAAAAATGTTTTAAGCTTATGTTTTTATATAATTCTCAGTTACAGCTACTATCCCTTTAGTTTCCATCTTCATTTGACTATTAAATTTGATAACTAAGAAAAATTAGGTACATTTATTCTCTAGAAAGTAGGCCAGATATTATTATATTAGTAAGCAGAGAAGTTCTGTCACACAATTTATGGTTAGTATAACTCTGCAAAACAAATGGGTAATTTATCATTTTATGAAACATTCTTAAATTAATTCTTTCAGGAGAAATAGTTTATGTCAGCTAATTTTTATTCTCCAAGCTTTCAGAGGAAGAAGCTATTAAATCTAATATAGAAGAATTGACAAGTTCAGGATGCCAGTTATTTTACTACTTGAAATATTTATAAAATATGGAAAACTACATTTATTTCCTTATAACCTTATGTTACAGATACAAAACAGATGACTGAGAAATAGGTGCATTTTATTTCTTTCAGGTCATGTGCCATAATTAATCTGTTGCTTTGAGAGAGGAGAACATGAAATGAGAATTTTTTTCCTTTCTATTTCAATTGTGTGTTTATATGTATGTGTTTGGGGAGAGGTTTGGTGATGGTTATAAATCTTTAAGCACAGAGGATATCAAGATAGATATGCAGAGAATATAAGGAGAAAATGGAATCATGAAAAATTTAAAAAGGAGATTTAATATTTATTAAGAATGAAATCAAATTAAGAGGACGAGAAATGAAAAAAATGTACCTCATTTTGAAGGAAAAAAAAACACCTTTGGTCTTTAGATCAAAAAGTCCCACCTGAAACTAAGTAGGAACAATAAAAGAAAACACCTGACATATTCTTGTGACTATGAGAAATTCTAGAAATAAAGAGAAAAATTAAAAAATTTTTAAGGAAGTTAAACATCCAATTTACCTGTAAAGAAATAAGAAAAAGATTTCTCATCTGCAAGAATGTCACATGAAAATGAATAATTGAAAAAAGCCTTTTTAAATTCTAATTCTATGCCTAAATTATTATCTAAGAGTGAGGGCAAAGGAAAGACTTTCAGCCATGCAAAAATTCAGAATACATTATCTCACATGCTCACAGTGAAAAGAAGCAGCTAATGATTTTCTCCAACAAAACAGAATAGAAAGATGGAAGATAACAATACATAATGATGAGAATCAATAACCATAACAAAAAAAAAAACCTCTAGTGGAACTGGATTTCAGTAAATTTTATGGTGCCAATATGCATATTAATGTGATTTTTTTTCCCCCATCAGTTGCTTGGTGTCAGATAGAAGAAAACAAAGATTATATTCTTACAAGCCTAAGAGTTTACAAGCAACAGCACAGGAGGCCATGAGATCTAAGGATTTTGGCAAGGGAGTGTTTGACGATACACTACCAGGTTGGAGAGAGAACTCAGTATGGGAGGAATGAGGTCCTGTTTGGTGGTCAGTGGAAGGGGGAACAGAGAGGAGTCCAGGGCAGCAAGGAATTGGGAGAGGCAGACTCTGCACTTAGCTGAGAAAGAGACAGATGGAATTTGTGCCTTTTATTTGGAGGCATAGCATGAGCTGAGTCTGGGAAACCGCTTCCCTCCTCAAGCAGAGCAGGAATCAGAAGTGTTCCTATTCAGGATATGGCATGCTAGAGCCTAAGGTTTTAAATACAGTTCATTTCCTGGGGGTGACACCTCACTGACTGGGTAGGCTGGTAAAAAGTTAAGGCAAACATCACTGGACTTGCAAAGGTCAAGGAATCGGAAGGATGAAGTGGCTAGAGGTTCTGCTTCATGACTGCTGAAATCGCCTAGGATGACACTACGAATAGAGGTGGAAAGAAAGATATTAAGTCTGGAGTCAAAGTCTTTGACAAATGCAGGGAGTGCCTGGACCTGGGTAGAGGACTGGACAAGTAGAGTTGGTCAGATGGCACAGATCCTCACAAGAGGAATGATTTTGCACACAAATACACAATGACGGCTTAAACAAGGGCTCGTTGATTGGCCAGAAACACTTGCTAGCCTTGGGCACATGCAGTGGGGAAAAAATGAACAGCCTCCATTTAAGCAGAAAAGTCACTCAAGAAAATCAAGTTTGAAATAAAGCAAAGGGGTAAAAGAAATATTTGTTAAGCAACTAGAGGTAAAAAAAAGAAAAGGAGGGGGTGTATTTGATTGTAATGGAACTGTTCTAAAGGCAGAGAGTAAGAAACTAAGACTTTGCTCCGTAAAAGAGGTCCGGGTGGAACAGATAAAGAGCTGTATCAAGGCAAGAAAATGGAGAGGACAGGAACTAAGAGACTTGCTTTGAGGGTGGTGGTTGATGGCAGGAATAAGAGGGGTGGAATTACCTGCCTCAAGGTTGTGTTTTGAACTTGAACTTGTCTAGCTTCTGGACCTCCAGGTCTGTGGGAGTCTCTATTTAGTGCCTGCTCCTAAATGTACCAAGTCAATGTAAAAATCAATAGAGGATTGTCCTTGTCACTCACTCATCTTCACTTGCAGAGCCCCGCAGCTCTCGGCAGCGCCTCCCACGCCGTTGTTGGCTATGCAGCAGTAGATGCCGTCATCGCTGTCTTCCACGCTGAGGATGGTGAGCAGCTGCCCGTTCTCGCGAATGCTGTACCGGGTGTCAAAGAGCCTGCGGGGCACAGGGGGAAGTGCCAGGTTAGTGCCTCACCTCTGATGCTTCGGCTATGGTGAACGGATCAAACGGGTGACTTGTCAGTGAGGAAACGAGTGAATTCTGAATGGTGAAACAACGTTCTTTAGTCATATAAAGCTAACATTATATTCTAATCTTTGCTAGGCTCCAATAATCAAAGCAGCATTGAGTCCTTTAAAAATGCTTTCAAAAGGAATGTCTACCGATAAGACCAAATGTAAAGTTTACTTTACTCGGGAAGTATATCGTTACCAAGATACAGAGTTCTCTTCCCACAATTACTGGGAAATAGCAGCTGGAAAATGAACATACGCACATTAATGTAACTAGTGGAAAGGGTTAAATATTTATAGAAGTAACTAACAATTAACTGCGTATTTATTCATTCATTAAACAAATATTTAGTGAAACCTTAACAAGTGCCAGGCATAGTTCTAATTCTTTGGGACACATAAGGAAGCAAACAGCCCTCCCTTTCCATGTCAGTCCCCAACAGTAAATCACTGTTTTGCCTTGAGCAACCCCCTTGACCTCACTGAAGTTCAGATCTTACATTTATGAAATGAGTACATTTGCATTTTATATGTTACGGAAGGTGAACTTCAATACTGCCAAGAGCTGTGGTTGCTTTTATGTCAAGATAAATCCCAAGGCGTCTTTGGCATTCTTAGCCCACCGCACCCCCTCCCCAAAGAAAAAGACAAGACAGAATACTTACTTAATGAGAATTTTATTTCTAGTCCAGGAAATTTCAGGCTGGGGATAGGATTCCACTGCACACATGAAAGTAGCCACTTCTTCAACTAAGGCGTCCACTGTCTCAAGGGGGGTGGTGATGACAGGAGCTGCCAGGGGAGGGGAGGCACACGAGAGCTGTTTACTGACCCTCTGAGGCCACTGCACACCCGAACGAGAGCTACGCTTCCGCATAGCCCGGATTTGCCAAGAAGAAGAAAGATTTTATGTAGAGAATTCTGTTTCTACTTCCAAACAAGGCATTCGAGAATCAAAAAAGAAAGCTCTCAAGACAGTAGGACTTAGATTTTATTATAGGTGAGTAGGGACAGGTCCGGGTTTTGGAAAGCCCAAAGATATATAATTTAGGTGCCCTCTTGAAGGACAAATATATAAAGTTATGAATATAAAATGTCTGTGGCCACCCCAACACCAGTCACCTTGAAAGGAAGTATGACGGATGGGAAGTGAGAGTGGAAGGAGATGGTACTCTTAACAGTTTAAACACAATTTCCCCCACATTTTATTAAAAAAATATATATGTATGTATGTATGTTTAGCCCTAGCTGCTGGGGCTCAGTGGACTGAGTGCTGGCCTGTGAACCAAAGGGTCACCGATTCGATTCCCAGTCAGGGCACACACCTGGGTTGCAAGCCAGGTCCCCAGTGGGGGGAGTGTGAGAGGCAACCACACTCTGATGTTTCTCTCCCTCTCTTTCTCCTTCCCTTCCCCCCTCTCTAAAAATAAATAAATAAAATCTTTAAAAAATATATGTGTTTATCTGAACACATTTCTAGGGTCTTAGGAGAAGCTCCTGCAAATAAGAGACTTTGAAGTTTAAGCTTTATCATGTTTATAGAGAATTCACATCTGCGTATGAGTAGATTAGAAAAAGACTCCATGGTAAGAAGATAAATGACACAAGTAAAAATGGGCAAAGGATCTTAATAGATTTTTTGTCAAAGAATGTGACAAATGGACAACAAAGAAATGAAAAGATGCTCAATTTCATTAGCCATTAAGGAAATGCATATCAAACCACAATAAGATACCACTTCATACCCACTAGGATGGCTATAATCAAAAAGGAAAGAAAAAACAAACGTTGGTGAGGACATGGAGGAATTAGAACAGTCGTGTACTGCTGGTGGGAATGTAAAATGATGCAACCGCTGTGGAAAAAAATGGTGGTTTCTCAAAACATTAAACATACAATTACTATATGATCCACTTCTGGGTATATACCTAAAAGAATTGAATGTGGGGACTCTAACAGGTTTTTGTACACCCATTTTAATAACAGCATTATACACAATAACCAAAAGGTGGAAGCAACCCAAGTGTCTGCCAACAAATGAACAGATATGGATAAAATGTAGTTTAACCATACAATGAAATATTATTTGATAATAAAAATATATGAAGTATGATACATGTTACAACATAGAAAAACCTTGGAAACAATAAGCTAAATGCAAGAAGCCAGTCACAAGGACAACATATTATACAATTCCATTTCTATGAAATGTCCAAAATGGACAAATCTATAGAGACAGAAAATATATTAGTAATTGGCTAGGATTGAGGGGGGAAGATAGAAGGATTGGGGGTAATGACTAGAAGCAAAAGGGTGTGTACAACACACCTTTGTCCTGTAAGGACCAACAATCTAGATGACAAGGTAGGATAGATACATAAAATGATCAGCTATCATAATCAGTTATGCCTGCCATCCTGATACAATTATTAATACTGCCCCTTTTGCCCCAAAAGTACCTGCGTTTGGACAATAAACTTTATGGCCATTTTAGTTAAAACACAAGGTACATATGAAAGCCAGGTATGTAGTGTGGACAATATTTTAGATGCAGAGTAGTTGGTAATGGCCTCATGAAGCACCAAGAACTGGCACATTGGCCATAAAAGATATACCTATTATCTAAATAATCTCATTTTTTTCAGTAAACTCCAAGGCAAACTCATTGGCTGAGAGTGAAGGAAATGGAAAGTGGTAGTTGAGTGTGTTTCACTTAGCTCATATCCCCCTTGTTAATGCTGTTCTTTCATTAAAATCTTTTTAAAGTATCATCTCCTCCCAGTCTCCCTGACTTGTTAGGGCCAAATGCCTTTTTCCTTAACCTTAGTGCATCCCGTTTAGTCCCTCTTCACAGTATTTATCACGCAGACACTATTAAAATGATCTGTTTATGTTTCGTTCTACACTCAGTTGTAAAAACCTTGAGCTTTAGGTCAGGAATAATGTCTGGACCTCTTTCTATCCCCAGGGCTAACACATTTACTGACATATTATTTAAATGAACAGGACTATATTTCTGAGGCCTTTATATAAGACTTATATATTTTTAAAAGGTTGAAAGAGATTAGCTGAAATGAGAGAGCAGAATTTTTAGGTGAAATGGCATATATAATTACCAAAGCCACCCTTTTCCAATTTTCCACTGAAACAGCCTTTAAAATATACAAAGAAATAAAGAAATGAAAGGTATTAAAGAAAAATATTAAGAGACATAAAATCTAGATTGACAGGCACTTCTAAAGGAAGTTTCAGAAAAATAAAACAGAAGGAATGGCCTAGGAGGGATATATAGCTGATTATTTTTCAAAATTAAAAAAAGAAAAGCATGAATATATAGATTGAAAGTTACACCAAGGGCCAAGTCAGATAAAGAAAAATAAATTCATCCCTAGATATGCTGGCTTAAATCTATAAAAATTAAAGATAGTAAATCTTAAACCATACTAGAAAGAAAAGATCAATTACTTTAACAGAAATGTCGAATAGGCTGACATGAGATTTTTCAGCGACAATTGATGTCAAAATGCAATGGACTAATACCTTTAAAGGGATGAGATAAAATGACTCTTAGTCTGGAATTTTATAGCCAGCTTAGATTATAATTTTAAAATGAAGACAAAATAAAGACACAGACAAATGCTGAAACTGTTTACTACTCATAACCTTCTGTGAAACAGTTGGTAAAGTCTATAACCTCAGTAAGAAGTAATTTGTTCCCAAAAGAAAGGGATGAGAGATGACAATAGTAAACATAGATGGTGGTTAAATTATTGCAATTTTAACTCAGTGTGGAATATTTAAAAAACAAACCCCTAATTTTTGTGTTTAAAAAAGAATGAAACTAAAATTATAGATAAACAATTGTAAGACCCAAGTTCAAAGAAGAAGTTCAGTGGGTAGTAAAAGCTAAGCTCTTTACCATAAACAGGAAGATGACAGAAGTATTTAATAACTACAAACATGGGGAGAAAAAAATGTATGGCTAAATGCGTGTGTTAAAATTTTATTAATGTTTTGTTTATTTCCTTTTTTAGACTTCACATGTAAGTGAAATCATATTGTATCTAGAAACCAAAATAAATGAAGAAACAGACTCTTAGGTGCAGAGGAGGTGCTGATGGAAGCCAGATGGGAGGAGTTAGGGGGATGGGCACAATGTTAAAAGGAATAAACAAGTGCAGATTGCTAGTTATTACAATAGTCACAGGGACATAAAGTACACCACAGGGAATATAGTACAAAATTTATTAATAATTCCACTAAAAAATAGATTAAAAAGCAAACTTTCAAAGCAGCAGGGGGAAAAAAGGAACTTTAAATGTATTAGTCAAAAGAAGGAGGAGGGAGAAGAAGTGGAAGAAGATGGAGGAGGAGGAGATGGGGAAGGAAGGAAGCAAGGAAGCAAGGAAGGAAGGGAGGGCGGGAGGGAGGGAGGGCGGGAGATATGTAAGCCAAGATTAGTAAACCAAGAAAAGACATGGTTAACAGAAGACACAAAATAGTGTGGAAGAAACATGCCTGAATATATCAGAAATCACAGTAAATGCCAATGGTATAAACTGACCTATAAAAAGATAGATACTATCATACAGGATTAAAAAACACAAAAGACACAAATAAATAAATTAAAACAGAAATGTTGGAAACAAAGAGAAGGAAAAATATGTAAAGTAAGTACTACTTAAAGTGATAAAAGCAATAAACAGTACTAATATAAGAAAAAATAGAATAGAAGGTGATAAGCATTTATAGAATGAAGGGAAAAGCTACTCCCTAATAAAAGGCACAATTCATCGGGAAGAGATAACAATCATGAAGCTTCATGATTTAAAAATAAAGACCTAAAGCCAAAGCTAAACATTACAATGAAGTTATAGGCTCCTAAATTTTTAAAGAAAATTACACACACACACACACGCGCGCGCGCGCATGTGCGCAATTATGTGTATATGAAAGAGAGAATGAAAGAATGAATAATAAAATATTAAAAAAACATTTCACCCTAGGTGTGAACATTATATATAATTTTATATTGTTGTTTTGCTGTATCTTACAGTGTTAAAAATGAATACATATTATCTTTGTAGTAAAAAGTTGTAACAAATCAAAATTGCACAGAAATATTCATTTTCCAATGCAATGGAAGCAAACTTGTAATTGATAAATTTTGAGAAAGTCAATATCTTAAGTATAAAGTATATATTTTCTAAACAACTAATGAACAAAACAAGCAATCAGTTGTATAATCACGTAGCTGTAAAGGGATAAAAACAAAAAATATAATATTAAGCTTGTGAGATGCAAGTAATGATGGGCCCAAACGTTAATTGATAATATTAAATGCTTTCATTGTTTAAAAAGAAAGACTATTGACAACTAAGCGTTGAGAGGCACTCTAGCCCAGGGCTTGAATTTGAATCGCCACTCTATCCCTTTCCTGACCCACCAAGTCACTTAATGAGTGCCTGGCCATCCTCAGCTGTAAGTGAAGATGACTTAATAAAGCCACCACAGGGTCTTGGACTAGCTTGCAAGAGCCAAGCATTAATTTTTAGAATTTTACGAGACAATCATTAAATATAGCCATTATTAAAAACAAAATTGTATAAATTTGTAACTGAATTATGTTAAAAGCAAAGCAATAACACTCATATCAATTCCTAATTTTTTTTACTACAGTTTACTCTTTGTTCTTGAGGTTATTTACCATCTACCATCTAATGTATGATAGAAACAGTATATAAAGGTGTACTTTTGCACATCTCTTACAAGTTCAGTGTTGGCAGCTTGAA